TGCTTAAAGTAGGACAAAAGCAGAAAAGAACCTTAGTGTCAAACCTGGCGCTCTTGAACTTCTTAAGAGCTGTCTCCCAGTCAGTCCCTCGTTCTAGCAATAAATTGCCTCGCATGTGCTCAGCGTAGGCCTGTTTGCGAATGAAAACACAAAGGGCAGTCTAAGAATTCACCAAATTCAAGTGAGCCTGACGCCGGACAAAGGATATAATTTTTTTGCCAAAAAGTACTCATCATGATGAATAGGCCTTTATAAGCGAGGATGAAACAAATGATGAGAATAAATTCGTTTGAAAACAAGGTGCAATCATTCAATTTAGGTCAAAATACAAGCAGTAGCTAATACCCAAGGCACTAGTGCCTTTTCATAAGGTCTCATGTTCCTGTCAGATAGTCCCGGGGCCGACAAACCAAATTTGACCTCGTTCTCCTTCTTCAGCTTCAACACATTATATTATGTCCCAGCCTGACAAAACTATCGCAAAGGTGACGGAGATAGCAGGAAAGAAATAATTGTTTTATAATATTAGTATCAATAATGGATAAGGCTCTGGATCAAGTGCATCTCTCAGGCCTATCCAGAAAACAAATTCCCCTCAGCACCAAACATCACTCCGACTTTCAAAAAGGTGAGAATTGCAAGCATACCAATGCTTCCAGACCGGTTCTGGAATCAGCCTTTTCCGAGCACAGCCGATTAAGAAGATCTCCCCATTTTGCTGCTTTGGTTAATCTTCGAATAAGGTGAGCCTGCTGACGAGCGTTGGCTCCAGCAGTTGTTGACTTGATTTCCATAGCATAACTCCATGCTCTTTCTGATGAATAAAGCACCACATGGAGATATCTGACATCTGTGACTGTTGCCTCCGAAATCTCTTTCTTGACGTATTTCCCTCGACCGTGCTTGAAGTTCAGCGACTTGTAGAGCCGCATTAAACGAGCAGTGCAATAACGTCTGTAGAGAGTTCCATATGATCAACTAAGAAAAAGGAAAGCGATATAAACGCATATGATTCATTGTCCTTCTACACAGAACCGTATAATTCTACTGCTGCAAGTGAAAAAATTTGTTCAGTTCTGAGTAATTGTCACAGGCCTACGACAAGAAGTAGGGCCATCCCTATACAATTACACAACCAGAAAATTTTCACTTCATTCTCTGCTCAAATAAACATACCTATACCGTTTGTAGTCCCCGAGCCGCAGACCATGCTGGGTCTGTGCAGTCTTGATCAGCTGCAAAACTGCAAAACAACCACCACGATCCATGAGAACTCTCAAAGCACTGCAATTCAGCCGGCCACCACCATGTGACCCAAAGACCCTCCACTCCGAATTCACAACCAATCGCACCCACAGATCGAAAAAACTCTACCCACAAACTCAAATCGACTCCCAAATTCGCACAAGGAAAAATCCCTCTAGCGCACCCTTGAACGAGAATTTCGCAGCAGGGCGATCGGCCCCGTCGACCTCCATTGCAGCCGCCGCCATCTCCACCACAACGCCGGGCCGTCCCCGAAACTTCCTGCAGTCCGGATTACTTCCTTCTTCAGTCCTTGCCTGTCGGCCTCATTGTCATACCAACAAACGTGGGAACATTCAATCTCGTTGCTTGATGTGATACCACTCTCCTCCCCGCCCTCCCCTCTTACTCCCAGTCCCCGAGGACTTTCCGCAAGAGTCAGTGTTCCTGTCGTAAACAATGTGCACAAGCTGCTGCTGCTTGTCCTCGTCCAGAGTAGCCTCAGACTACTCCTTACTTCGACCACGTACTGGACCGTACGGACTGTGCTATTGCACAGTTGCGTAGTTGCCCTAAAAATAGGCATAGTCAAGGCCTACGTGGTTTCTCGCTGAATATCGAACGGTGCGGACGATGTCATGGTTTGTCGGGAGATTTGGGTTTTGATGACTAACAAACGATGGCTTCGTATTTCTATGTTTCTTGGGGAGGGATTAAGCTTGGGTTTGAGAAAAACTGTAAATATTCCCCCGTCTTATATGTCTAACGACGAGTGACATCTCCCGTACTCTACTACGTAACTTAGGTACGTTACAACAAGTGATAGCTGTGATCATCTACTGCTGTACAGCCGCGAGAAAAGGGGCCGATCATGGAGGCACCACATCTTGTTCCCCTGTCTATATTTTCTCGGCATGTCTCGTTACCCTGCAAACATCGTTTCCACCCTCCACAAACTTTTCGCTGTAGAAATGGTTTCGCTTGGGATCCTTCCTTGGCTAATGAGGAGGGAGGAGGGAAAGCCATCGCAGATGCAGAATCGCTTGCGACTATTACAGGCAAAGGAGGATGGATCCTGGTTCTGACTGAGATGAAAGTTGTGGCTTATCGGCAAATGCCCCATTCGAGTTTTCACTGTAGCCACCGTGCCACCAAATGTGACATTTCGAAAGCCACCTCTTCATCTTCTTCACTGCCCTAATCTCGTGTCAGATTCTCGTGTTCTAACGATTGTAATGTCTTCGACTGTTCGGTACAGTACAATAAAGTACAGTACTTACTCTGGAAGAAGGAGAAGGCAAATTCCCTTGAATCCCGTCACTCTGAAATCCTTCCTGCTATTCATCTCTTCTCCATCGAAGTACATCTTTCCCATCAGTACTCCGCTACTACAAACTGGCAGCAACTAGCACTGTACGCAGTCTTATCGACCGCCAGAATCATCAGTCATCCGGAGCCATGTCCCTGCCCCACACAGTTGTAACCGAACGTCAGAATCGAGTCTGAAGAAAGAGAAAGGCGTCAGAAACCGACCCATAATCGTTATCGCTGGAGTTGGACTTCAGTTACCTACAAAACTTTCGGAGAACTGGCAACCTGCGCACTCGATAGTCCTCTAAGAGGGCGAAAGCAACAATAATAGCCCGGAGCTAAGAGCGTCCTTTGAGCTAAGCACATGAATTCTCGAGAGATGTGCACCGTCTTCGATCATGAAGGGCTATGTTCCACTAAAGGCTCGCTCAACTGTTACAAGAACCTGAGGACCTCGATAACATGGAACAAGCAACTCACAGCCACGGATGAGGCTCGCGAGGCGCGGAAGGTATGGCTGCAACATGACAACGGAGCCCAACACGTGGACAGACACGGGCGCACCTCCGTTCATTTGAAAATCGCAGAATCACCATTATCATCATCATAATCGCAACATCGTCCAAGAACCTCTGAGTTTAGAAAGCGGGAGAAGATCACTCTGCAATCCCCCACTCCCGCACAGTAGCCATCAGTGGCCGAGAGTGGGACTGATCTCGTGGCGATGCAGCTCATTCCGACTTCTGTGTGCGGGCTCGCATTTTCCAACTCCTCCCTCCTCGCACCTGCGGTTTTGCAACCCAGGTTTTTTCCGCGCATTTCTAATGCAGACGGTGGTGTTTGTTCTTCCTCCGCCCAAAAGAAGTTGAGGAGGGTTGTCTGCAGGAGTAATAATGAAGAGAGGACGCCTCCGACTGCAGAGGCCAGTCCGCTTGTAAAACTAGCGTGGTATGGATCAGAAGCCTTTGGAAATGCAGTTGCCATGTTCCGACCCAAGTCCGGTGAGGATCAGGCAGCCGATGACGGAGAGCAAAAATTCGACGGCCCTGTGGATAGAGAAGATGCAGTGGCCCTTATCAAGAAGGACTTTGATCGATCCTACTTCGTCACTGGTGAATTATCTTCATCTTTTTCCACCATTAATTGTGACGACTACAACGTGGGTACATAGGTGTATGGCGTGTACTCTTCAGGCTTGAACTCTCTTGGAATGCATCGAAAGTCAACCAACTCCTCTTTTATCCTTCTATTTGTCCAGATTTTTGCAGATGTAAGGACTTTTTTGAGCTGACCATAAACATTTAGGATGATGTACTGAAGAATCTTTGTCCTTTACATGTTAGAAACGAAGGAGGTGCCCGAGATTGGTTTGCGACTGATAAGAATAGGAACTGTTCGAGGCTCTGTTGATGGACACAGCAGCGAACATGTTTCCTCTCTCTGAAATGCGTTGGCGATTGATCCCTCTATGAAACTCTGTTCTTCACCTGCAGGTAATATGGCGACAGGTATTTATGAGAATGATTGTGAGTTTGCGGACCCGTTTGTATCGTTCAAAGGACTAAATCGCTTCAGGCAAAACGTTGGGAATCTCGGGTCCTTCATGGAAGAGTCCAGTCTAAAGCTCACTGAATGGCAAGAGTACGAGGTACGTGCACCCAATTCGCTATAAGAAAAATTATTTCAAAATGAAACCCTGTTAAGCATGATTGCCCTCAATACGTACATAGAAACACGATTCTCTGTATCATCCTCGTCCTCAGTCTGAAGCCATGGCGAGTCCATCTTACAAATCTACCCGCAGGATCGAATATACGCTCGGTGGCGCTTCAATTGCGTTTTGTCTCTGCCCTGGAGACCCATCCTGGCTGGTGAGTTTCTATTCCCTCTCTTCTACTAGATTCTTAAAGGAAAATTTTATGACCTACCAACGCGTAATTGCGATGACACAAATTTGCTTCATTCGTCTTCAGATGTGAATTGAAACAAACAATGTACTTCCTTTTGGTCGATCACTTGTTCCCTTTAGCTCTGATCGGAACGTGAGATCCACTGGCTTGAGTTCTAAGATGAAGTCTGTCATGCCTGAAATGCCGGTCCGGAGTCTAGTGGCAGGCGGAAAAGTTTTCCACCTGACCTCTGCATCTCCCGCCAATTTCGGCTTCGTGGCCGGAAGAATTGTGGGCACTCTTTTCTTACGACTGTCCACTTAACTGTGTGTCAAGAACCGTGGGGAATTTTCATTTTAATTCTCGGGTTTGTGTAGACCGGTGGAGGCTATGTGATGCATTTCAGTTCACTTGTAATAAAGGAAGTAAGCCCAGTGCACACTAGCAATCATTCGACCGTGATGGAAACATCTGTTTTCTTGGATAGAGACGAGGTGACTGCAGTCTGTGTTCTGTAGAGGATTATGTTTGCATTGGTGGCTTATATAAACATCAAGCCCCCGTAGCTCAGTTGGTTAGAGCATCGGTCTTATGAGCCGAAGGTCGTGGGTTCGAGCCCCCCCGGGAGCACTAAGCCCCCTTATACCCTCTCAGAATGGTCGGGATTCTCGCTTGGGTTGGTACCACGATACCATCCGCAGCAAATCTGCTTCTTTTCCTAGGCCACTATTTCTCATGTTTGTGGGGTTGACCTCTGTAAGTGACAACCGCACTCAAACATAAAACCCACATACTTCCTCTCTCGTGATTGTCGGGATCCTCACTTCTCACTTTTGTTGGGACCAGGATACCATCTGCTAATATTTGTTTCTTATTTCAAAAAGACAGGATACTGTTTCAGGCCTCTATTTCTCATGTTTGTGGGATTGACCTCTGTAAGTGACAGACGCACAAGCACATCAAAACCACATTCTCGATTCTATGGTTCTTTCTTACGTCTCGAATCAAGGGCTGCGTTCCTTCTCTCATCCTGATGATAGGAAGTTCGAAGTTCTCAACTCGGACGTACAAATTCACACAGGATAACTTCTGATAATATTTCTGTTATTAAAAAAGACAGGATGTTTTCTTAAGGGCATTATTTCTCTTTCTAGTAGGACTGACCTCTTTGAGTCACAAGCCCGCATTAGAAACATAAGAAGCACACAAGAACAGGGTAGAAAGTCTTGCCCCTCACTGGAAGAAGTTTGCAATTTAAAACTTCTCGCCCTCTGGACACTCTAGTTTACCTCCTGATAAAACCCAGAGGTCGTGTGAGTTATATCCAGATTTTTCAGGATATATCCTGGTATATCCAGATTTATCTGAGTCTTGTGAGTCTGACTGAGAAATCAGTGAGGGTGCCGAAGATAAATCACTGACTTTTTTAAACATAAGGAATAGGGCTTCCGACTTCCGGGGAAAACCATTTGTATTCCGGAGGACGTACTTCCTTGCCCTTAGAAGGGCAAGAATTCTACCCTTGCTACACGAGGACCACTCCTGTTGTCGCTTGGTAGTCGGTGGTGGTAATCGAACCCATGAGTTTGGACTTCTTGTAGCGGTTTCTCTTTGTCTATGTAATTTGCAGTGTCACGTTTAAATCTTATTACAGTACTGTGAGTGTGCTGATTTACAAGTTCTTTGCATGATGCAGCCACTGGCAGCACGGAGTACTTTTTTAACAAGGATTCCGGGAAAATCTATAAGTAAGCACATCAACTGTATATATGAGGATTAGATGTTTCTTCTCCTTGACATGTCATAACCTGGCGTGAATCCAGTTAACGAATAATTCAATTTTTGTTTCAGTCAAACGCTGGTGAACTGTTGATTGACTATCCTAGGTAGCAGCAGCCCTTCCGATATTTAGACAAAAGACCATGTTCGTTTTTTATATGTACACCTTCTTTACAACCAAAGCGAAAGTAAGGTGGAATTCATTGTTGTGGAAGCCTTTCTTCTGGAGTCACAGCTAAGGTCTGCTCTCTTTTGTGCAGACACGTTGAGTCATGGGATATCTCACCTGCAGATGGTGTTCGACAGCTTTTCAAGCCCAATCCTCGACCCAGAAAATGAGAGGATTTAAAGCTCGTAATATTGATCAGTCTCCTGTTCATAATCTGCTATGTTCTTTAGACATTGGTCCTCAATTATATGAACTCTAGAAATGATGACATGATGAATCAGTCAAATCATCAGCTGTAAATCGGTACATTTAGAAGATCCGGTTCCGCATGTACTATAAGTTTTGAGACACTACCATGACAGCCTGAGACCTTAGTGGAATAAAGTTTTGATTTTTTCGATTTTCACAGGACAACATACTGCACTGTCTGTAATGCTCAGCAAGACAGCGGTATCCGCTGTATGGTGTGACGAAGTTACGACTTGAGTTGGAAAGCGTATCTAACTTGACAATGCCAGATACTCCCCTACTGCTCTCAATACTTACTCCCTATTTACTGGACACTACTGACAGTGTTATATGAACAAAAACCTCTGCACCGGATTTAACTCTTTGTGAGGAAAACACACTGATATTGATCTGAAGTCTGTATATCATCTGACCCCTGTCTGTACACATACCCGTGTGTGTATCAATTCCAACAGTAACGAAGTAACAATTTGTCTTCCCAGTGTGGATACCAATATGGAACAAGTTCTGTCCATATTTACATCGGTGATGATACACGAAACATTACTCTCAATCGCATCCAAGAGCGCGAAATTACCTGCTCAACGATGTACACACAATTATTTGTTGCCTTCATTTTCAGACGTGCGTGGACGAGCATCCAGATGTATCAACTCTTTGATGACCATGTAAGCAACAAAAACTGCCGCATCATAGTACAACAGAAAGTGGGATAAAGTCAGACATCCGACCAAATGAAGGAGTAAGCTGATGTAGTTAATTTAGAGGGAGGGCCTCTTTGATTAGGGCCAAAAGGGACGTGAACGCCACAAACTTCACCATAAGTCCTGACCTGTAAAAGAACTGAGAAATGCCTTTGATTACCTGCAGCGAGAGAGTTAGGATTCTAATCCTACTGCTTCCTTCAATCTTGCTAAAGAAATCGTTGGCAGATCGTGTGTTCCAAAGAAGGTAAGCAAAAGTGTAGGACAGTAAAGTAAAGGGCATATCTCGCCACAGTCCGATAGTGGAAGGATCCGTTTTGATGAAAGCACTCCAAAGTGCAGCGACCAGTTGCACAGTGCCCAATATCACAAACCCCGTGCTGAAGCTGGCCATATGATCCCTGAGAGCATTCAGGGAGTCTCTCACTTGATCTGCTGTATCTGATAAATCTCTCTCCACTGTGGGTCCGACAATCTCCTCATGTTGGAAGTCCTCAATACTCCGGGGAGGAGATTTGACGGCTCCACCTTCAGCTGCAGATTTGTCGTCTCCACCACCACCTGCCTTGGACGTGGACAGTCGGCGCTGATCTGTTGGATGACAGACAGACCTAGTGTTCGCAAGTGAACCTCCCACACAGAGATATGGATATGTCCGCAATTCTAAATTGTTACTTGCTAAGAGCGATCTTCGCCGCGAAAGTTTGTGGTTATCTCCGATGGCTGTGGAGTTGACATGACTTTTTGATTCCTGATCGACGAAGAGGGATCTCAAATTCGGGGCACCAACACCTCGGTCAATTCTGAACTCATCATGTATGCGCTTGTTGGACTGCGCGCTACAAGGTTTAAGTCCTGGAATTTTGGGGCACCAAATTGGGCCGCAATGAAGTGAACATGTTATCAAGTACAATGAGATTGTTGTGGTTATTTTCATTACAATCAAACTAAAGAAGGTGAATTACTTGGACAGACAACAGTCTGTTGAGGTGAGGCAGACTAACACAAATCAATCCAGTATCTGTCGTGGCTGGCTGCTGGCCAGAGTGATTAGCTTAAACTACTAAAAATTTGTGTGAATGCTCATGCTTACATCACTGCACTGATTTCTTACCAGGACAGAATGACTCTCACAGTCGATTGAGAGGCAGTCGGACGACAAATACTTCCAGGACATGCACAAAAAGAACCCTAGGAAGCGTGAAGCAAATCAGTAAGGCAGATGTAGCTGGGAATCACCATACCAGATAGTGGACAGAGGAGTTTCCAGCCAGCGATGTTGTCTACTCCGCCCGGGGCGTGAAAATGTCTGGATGGAACATAATCAGTTCCACTGCAGCTCGACGTAGAACTCCTGACACCAGAAACCTCCCAGAGTCGACGATTCGACCCAAGCGATCTCGCAGATCTCCGCAACATTGTGGCTGCCGGGTGATGATCGCTCCTTCCGTCAGTCCTACCACCTCTCCACGACTGCCCGAGTTCACAGAAATTGGAAATCCGTCCTCAGCAGAACACCTCGAAGCATTGATAATCTTTTCTCACTGCCACCTTCCCAGTGTCAGCATGCTGACGATGACCTGGATCGTCGAAGGTCTACGCGCTTGGCGGCTCATAGTGACGAGGCTCGGGCACCCTCGCAGAGGCGGATCGAGAAAGGGCCACAGGACACGACCTGACCGTACCTGACCTGACCTGCCCTGACCTCTTTACCACTCAGCACTCTACACATCCCAAATGTGTTCCACTTAACGCTAAGTACACGGCCCAATGACCAATTGGGTCGCGTCGCCGAGTCAGCCGAGTCAGCCGAGTCAGCCCAACAGCAACACAGAAGGCAGCAGTTTATATAATACATTTATACCGTGACGACGGTCTTGAGGGAATTTTCCATCACAACACTCAGAGCCAGTTAGAATGCTTATGCTGCTACCAAGGTTCAAGAATTCAGTCTAACAAGGTCCTCTCATACTCATCGCAAGTTGCATTCCAGTTCTTATCGTTGAGTTTTGGACATCTCTAAACCTTTCCTTGAGTTCGAACTTCGATCACAGCTCACTGACCGTCCTATGTCTGATTAGCGAGCTCTTTGGCTTGATGCGTTAATCATCCAAACTCTCAACACCTCGTTTGTGCGATCTAACCGATCTTTCACAGTGTGAGAAGGTGTCGCTATGCTGCTGCCACTAATTACGCTAGTTTGCATCATCAAATTATCGTCTGCTGAGTGCGATGCTGAGCTTTGCAGCCCGAGTTTGGTCTGTAACGAGAAGTGGGAGCGGGGAGAAAGGATCAACGGGCGCGTTCTCCCCACCAGGAAAAGGTACTGTCCTGAAAGCCGTGGTTGTAGGAGGATGACGAAACCTGGGATAGATTCGCGTGGCCTCTACACTGGCCTGTCAAGCGGCGCGGCCGCACAAAAACGCTGCTGCTGTAATGATGCCAACATGCGCTCAGTGTGCTTGAAGGGGAAATCAGGAGAAAGGGTGGAGGAGCAAACAAGCAAATCAGGCCTGCAGGAATCTGTTGTGAATCTCGCTTGTCTATCAGTGGGATGGCGCGAGCTTCGTACTTCAAACTCGAATGGAACTCAGTGGAATAGGACCGACCAACTCTTCCTAGAGCTAGAAATAATGTCCATTCAAAACACGACAGACGAGCAAAACGCGAGCTGGAAATCACAGGCACTCAAAACTTAGCACAGAGATGGATGAATCCATGTCAGTCTGAAGAAAAGAGGCCCA